TAGCTGACGCTTTTATACAACTAAAAAAAGCGACTTACTGTACAATAAGTGCATTCAACCATAAGGACACAAACTCAAAATAACAAGAAACAAAAAAGTGCAATTTCATCAAATAAGCCAATCTACAACCTGCTATAGCTAAGAGCCATTACAAGTACAATTTTAAGTGATACAATTTGTTTAATGTTTTTAGTGGAGGTAGAGTCTGAAGAGGTGTGTCTTTAGTCTGAAGATGTGAAGGCTCTCCGTGGTCCTGGTGTCTTCAGAGAGCTCGTTCCACCATTTCTGGTGCCGAGACATCCACAGAGCTGGTATCACAATAAGCTATCACAACTATGCTTAAAAAGTCAACAAGTGGAATTTGGAAGAGGTTCCTCTTGGCTTTTTTAGTGTAAAGCCTAGTTTATGCTTTATGCGTTTTCAGAGAGACGTAAGGGCACGCAGACGCAGGAGCCCCTTGCGTGTCCCTTGCGTGCCTTTCCACCCGTCCTTGCGTGCGTCGACCCATTTTTCTAGACTTGCGTCAAAAGCTACGCAAGCCTCCTGCAGCCCCCAAGGCTGTGATTGGTCTGCTAACTACGTCCTTTACAGAGTCTCACATTTCCGGTTTCATAGCACAATACCGGCATTATTAAAACAAAGATTTTTTTGCGAGAGAATGAATCAGATTAAAGAGCTTTTGTCGGAAGAAATGCGTAAATATGACCGCTTATACAAGCCGTCATTGCCGAACTATAAGGACGCGCGGATGGCCTCTGATTCATGGAGGGAGATCTCCACAAACGTCGGTTTGCCGGTCGAGGGGACAAAGGTGTGGAGGAAAATACGGGATGAAAAGCAGCAGTGGCGATGCACGGGGCAATAAAGTCTCTGATAAATAAATAAACAAATAAATAAATAGACGTGACTCTCTAGGTCGTCTTCATCAAAAACACGTTACTCCGCCTGTTCTGGAGGTGAATTGCTCTGCAACACACGCAAGACTTTTAGAACCATGAATTGAAACGAGTGTGTCGACACAACGGTGCGTAAAGACACAGAAGCATGCGCCATCTTTAAGTTGTAAAAGCAAAAAAATGATATTCCATGTTGTGCAGCACCAACTATAACAAAGTGTTTGGTTTTAACTAATAATTAGCGTAACAAAAACAAAGGAACGCCTCAGCCCTCTCCAAGACATCAGTCCCGCCTTTTCTCTCAATACTTGGAGTGCTCAGATTCAAACCTCCAGCTACGTGAACGACTCTGTAGAGATGAGAGGACTCAAACTAATTGCTTGAATTCAGAAACCTGTGTCACTTCATTAATATTTTAGCTTTGTTTCAGTGGCCCAGGTCACTGAATTATTTAAATGGTGTGAGTTGGCGTGGGTTAGACCGCACTGCTTACAGAGCCGAACACCTAAGTCAAACCCTTCCATCCTGTGATACCACATTATCAAAGTAAATGAGTGTTTAATACAGAATCATCACAGTGACATTTGCATTTACCCTTGTTGCAGATTTGATTTCTGCAGTGGTTTTACTGGAATTGAATCATTTTTATGCATCAATACAGACCGCTTTGTTTTAGAGCCAGGCTGTTGCTCCGTGTGTGACGCCTTGAGTTATATCAAAACTAAATGTGTCCCGTAGAGGGAATAAAGCAACATTGTGTTTCTAAGGGAGTTCCCTCTCCCCTCTGTAGTCCTGACTTGCTGAGCAAAAGCTGAGCGTGGTATGCAGCGGCCTGTGTATTGTCTATCCAGGTAGGTGACACCACGTCGAGCTCCGAGGCCCCTCAATTATTAACCAGTGATTTATTGCTTTACTGATGGCAATGCTGGTGTGGGTCAGCCGGTCCACCATTTAGGCTCTCAACAACTCCGGACAAGAATCTGCTTGGATGCTAAACTAAGACTGAGAAATAAGTAGCTCCTAGACGTTAGCATTGCCGTTGCTATGCTAGTGTATATCAAAGCACCTTTGTGTGCAGTCTTGTTCAATCTGTGAAACTCAACACAATCACCGGTTGTAATTGTTAAACGGCATTAGTAATCCATGAAATTAGATTTCAATTTCAATCGGGAAGCACTAGTAATTGTGTTAGCAGCTGGGCTGGTTTCCTACAATTGTATATTAATCTCTTCTGTGTTTGGATAAACTACATCAAGGTGACCTCCAAAAACCAAACCACGCTGGCATCATATTGCTCAACCTCATTGCCGAGCTTTGTTGTAAAATATGCTTTGTCATTACAGGTGTCACTGTGACCTCTGACACAAATTACACCCTAATTATAAATAATTGCAGCAATTCATATTGAATAACTTGGCAGAAACACAAATGCAGGTGTAAACACAAACAACAGCAGAGTCAAGAGAACATTCCACTACGTTGCCAGTGAACTGGGGGAGCTGGACGGATACTCTGGAAACACAGAACGCGTTTTCTTTAGCGGTTCTGATCTCGGTGTGCAGGTAGGAGGGAGGACGTGGAGCGCAACAATTCAATCACGTTCGGGTCCTTTACTGCACATACAGGCTGACATTTTGAAATGCATAACGATTAATGGATTGAGATGAAGTGTTCTTTGTTCCAAAATGTGACCCTGGCTGCAGTGCATAACGTTCAGTTATAAAAAAAAAAAAAGCAGGTATGACTTAAATGTTTCAGGGTAACGTTTGAAACTACTGCATAAAGATTAATCAGATGGAGCACATTTAAAGCTAAATAGATGCCCTGATACATGTATCGCAGAACCTATGGGAGTAAAAAGAAATGTGTCCATTATTTTTGTAATCTTAGCCTAGATTTGCGAACATCGGAGCCAGGAAATCCTCAAAAGGGAATAAGTGGAGCTTCTCTTTTGTGCTGTCAGAGGAAGGCACACCAACTTTTGAGGATTCAGTGGATTTGCCGGAGGAAATTTCACAGGGATGTGAGCCCATTTTCTGGTAAACATAAAAACGGAAATATTCTATCTTTTTAATGAATGAATTTAATTGCTATAAAAATAGCACCTACTTATGTTTAGCTGTACACCATAGTTTGTGTTTTCCAGAATCAGGTTAGTTGTGGCTCTCCAGGTCCTGAAAACAAAGTATTTTTGTCATGAAATATTCATGATGCAGACTGACAAAAGAGGTTTTTGTGGCTTTTGAATCCATAGCGAGCTCAGATTTTTTTTTTTACTGGTGTTTTCTCAGCTTCGGGTCATATCGTTATATTTGTTATATTGGCTGTAATCAATCAATCAATCAATCTGAGTGTTGCGAGGGTGCACGGTCGCCCCTTTGCTAACTATTCGTCAGGATAAGTGTTTGCCGGTCACACGCGTGGATGCTTCCACCAGGAGAGCTCCACACATCTTGACTCACGCTGAACACAGGCCGCCACCTTTTCCTGTGAAAACTCCTCACGTTTAGAACCGAGAGTGTGAAGTGGAGTGCAACATCCTAAAAAGGATTGCTTCTGTATTTAATTCAAACTAATTGAGCATGTTGCTGTTGCTTATTCGACCTGCTGTTTGACAGCAACACAGGTTAACGCTTCCTGGAACGTAGCATTTAGGATTACAGCACAGATGAACCCTACATCCTGCATCCCGCCTACATCTCAGAATAGCGTGACATTTATAAAAGTCTTTGTCGCACTGATATAAAACATTGCATGTCTCGCTCCCATGAATCATTTGTGACATGGATCATTGCTTCAGAGCTCGACCAGAGCGCTAACGGGGGCCGCTGATAGGAAGCCCCCGTTCCGCCCCTCAGCGAGTCCCTGTTTCCATTTGTGACAGACGCACAAAGTGGTTAATCTGATAAATCGCACAATATGTCATTGAGAATTAGTTTTTCTTAGAATTGATGATTATGATTCGTGTGGGCGGGCTTCTGACACTGACATTTATTTTACAACCGAATTATGGGGTTTAAATGACAAAAACAAAGCAAACACAAATGTGGTTTCCTCTGAGGATGTCTTGATGGATTTGTGTTTTTCACAAGAACAGGAAAGGTGAAGCATGTATAACAAAAGGGCTTTCATTAAATGTTTACACAATTCAAAAACGGATTGAAATGTTAATATTTGCAGAAAGCACTCTCTTATAGTTATGTTGTTTATTCAGTGCAATTATGTATATTTGCAATGAAATTCTATCCATACGTATTCTCTACTCCTACATACGAGCGGGATTGGAGGTTGTTGTGTGCATTTGCATGGCAGTTTTTTGTCGACCCTTTTGACCCTTTGTTGTTTAGATCTCTTTCTGGGCGTTAGATTGACTTTCTAACAATAAATGTCAACTCACCCACTTCATTCTGAGGCTCTAGCCTCCGGAAAGCTTGATATGTCATCCACGAATGATACTAACAAGCCAATTCCCTACATCATCGCTTTCTCACCCACCACTCTCTTCATTATTCAGAGGCACATTCTGTACGTGAACAGATGCGTGTGGAGTGACGATATCAGTCAAAAATCTGTGATGAATAAAACCATTGTCTCTAGCTCTACGCACAGTTTCTCATTTCCCTGAGTGATGACTTAGAGGAAATTACCTCAACCTGTCATTAGGCTTCAAAGGAGATATTGTTTGCGAGTCTCACAAAAGATAATACTTTATGGAGTATATCTTGCTGACTAAACCAGCTTCTCCACCTGTGAAAAAGGTAGATGTCATCGGCAATACTGCCCTGTAAACGGCAGCTGACCGTCCACGAGAGAAGAAAGAAGACTCTCTCATTGCTGAACTTCATCCTCTCCAATTCTGCCTGATCTGTATCAGCGGCTCCGTGGAGAATTAGCCCCGCGAGGAAACCGTTTAAGGGGAAACTACGAGATTCGAGTTAGATTGTCGGCCTCCAAACTGCATCTGCAATGTCTTCATTGCACGATAGGAATGGAGCACTCTTTACACACAATTATTTTTCCCGATTTAGTTTAATGACCTCACATTTTTGGACCTGTAGTTGCACAGGCCTTCGGTTTTAATCAAGTTTTTTTTTTTTATTGCAGTAAAATCGTTGTAAAGGAAGGGCGATTTCTCGGAGGTTAACAACAAGCTGGCCTTTAAAATATTTAAGGTAAGCACGGAAAAAAAGACGCGTTGTAGTCCCTATCCCCGAGGAAACAACAGCATGTTTTTATTTTTCTTTCATGCCACAGAACATGATGGAAGGATGAAATAACCACAGACAACAGGGAGCAAATAATGAATACTAAAGATAAATACGCTATGCTTTGCTGATTTGCTTTTATTCCACCATTATATATCCATATATTATATATATATATATATATATATATATATATATATATGGATATATATTTAATTTTAATAGATTTGCAAAAATTTGCAAAAAACTGTTTTCACTTTGTCATTATGGGTTGTTGTGTGTAGAATGTTGAGGAAAATAATAAATTTAATCCATTTTGGAATAAGGCTGTAACATAACAAAATGTGGAAAAAGTGAAGCGCTGTGAATACTTTCTGGATGCACTGTATATATATTGAGCCGCTCTCACAGACACATGCGGTACTCTGTGTTGCGATGAATTCCATCGGGTTTTGATGTAAGCTGAAAGAACCGACGGCGACCTTTCACCACATCTTCATCCTGCGGCATGAACTTACTCCTGCCGCCTTGAGTGAGTGGATGAGTGACTACAAGCGGATGGTGACCCCTGACCCCGCTGTGGAGGCAAACGTGAAGTTTATCATTGAGACTTATTTACAGTTGGAAGAAAAATCCCATGAATGCTCAACTGAAAGTATCAGGGTAGAAAAAATGTCATTAAGGCATTTCATTAAAATATTATAATATAATAATAGTTTTTGAAAGCGTACAAGTGCATTAAAAATAAATGCAATTTTGACAAGCGTCTGGGAAACAATTGGGTAGAAACAGACCTTTTAGGAGACTACTTCCCTTCTGAGACTTGCGTTGCAAAAACAAGCCGAGCGATTACAGGGTTTATTGTTTGCACATTCACACCTCACCCCCGGCTGTGTAAAAGTCTTGGAGCTTCAAGCGGATTCTTACGTTACGAAGCTCTCCCTCTAGAGCCAAATGAGGCTTTGTTCCCATACGATTTGGATTTGATGTGTGGATTTGAGACTACTTAGATAACTCCACGGCTGTGAATTAATAACGAAAAGCTGATTCTACTCTAGATACTTGGTGAGCAGTCAGAAGACAGCGGGAATCCCATTAATACCATTTACCAGGTTTTTTTCTTCCCCTGTGTACTTTTTTCTTTTCTTCCCTCGGCTGTGTTGGCCGCAGCAATCAGATGTGTTTTTCTAGCGTGCAGCAATAGCAAAGAAAGCCATTTGGCTGAGAACGTTTGGGGCCACTCTAACGCGTTGGCTGGCTGCTCATGAGACTTGGCCGGCGCTGCTGATGATGAGTGGACTCACTGATCACAACACGGGAGAGAGAATCCAACTCCTCAGATGTGTTTGTGTGTGGCCCAAACAAGTTCCACAAATTGCACGCGGAATATCTCCTCAGCAGTGATTGGCCTCGGAAGAGATCTAGAAAATCAGATCTTTGCTTCATGGATCTCTCTGTGGGGACCAAATAATGCTTATGCCGTTTTGGGTTGTTGGTGTGTTGTTATTGACTTTAAACATTGTAAATTCCTCTGACAGGAGCATTTGCGGTGGGTTGGTGTTTGGGAGGTTCCGCAGGCTGAAATGCCCAGAAACATGAACGCAGCACAAACATGTCCTGCTTCCCTTCACTCGTCAGCTGTGAACATCCGCCAGGAAGCCGCTGCGTATCTCATCGGACTTGGTAAAACATGTCACGTATGAAGGTAATTACCGGGAGACGGGCTTGTTGCGTTAATGGATAAATGACATGCTTTGTGCAGCACTCGGTTCTGTTTGAGTAGAAAAGTGCAGCCCATTTACCAACTATCCAAAGACAAGTCCTGTAGTGACAAAAGGCCTCATGTTTTGATAAATGATCCCTAAAAAGAACATCACAGCACAACTGGTGTCTTTATCATGCAGCACAGCCTGCTTTCTCTTTTTACTTATTTACTTTTAACCAGGCGTGCTACATATGTGCTTTTATGCGCTTAGGTTGAGTTACATAAGTTACATAATCTGTTGGGAGAACTGTTGCCTCTTTGTGTGAGTGGGAATCGACCCTGCTTATAATGCATTCCGCTTTTTGAATCACAGGCGGCATCCTAAGATGCAAAATTAGTTTTGGTTTCAGTTGCTTCCTCACAACAATTTTGAAATGCTTGTTGCCGTAATCTGTAGCTGATATTAATGCGGTCCGGGTAGTTTATTCACCAGTAAACTCAAACTGCACTCCAAGCTCTTCCCCTTTTTTTGCCTTTATCAAGTATGTATTCCTGCAGCTCTTCCATTAATATTATTTAATTATTATATCAAGCTGAGTTTTTCCCCAAAAGGATCTACAATCCTGCAAATCATTCACGTTTTATGTTAATACAACTCATTACTTTGAATTGATTGGTTGAATATTTCTAAAACTTCAAAATCCAAGAGGGCCATTTGTCTCGAGTTGTTTATTAGGGTCATTTTTTGTCCCGCTTTTACAATCTGCCAGCTAATGATTTCACACGCTAATCTGGAACATTAGTTGCCAACAGTGCGTCGCATTTTCACTAAAGCAAACGTCTCATTATTCATGAAGGAAAATGGGAAGTAAATGGGATGAACAGATGAAAACTACGGTGAAGCTATCCAGTCATATAAACAAAGAGGCAATACTGAAGCCTCTCACGTAAACCAGATATCTTTTGAACTGGCAGATCTGGTTGCTACATAACTAGAGGAATGTAGAATACAGAATGAGAAAATACATTACGTTAAAATCAGTGAGGTGGCTTCTTTCTTTCATATTCATTGTGCGCTTCTCGGAAATGATTCTTCCAGCATAACTGGATTAGAAGCAGAGGCGTACTGGGACTTTAGGCTTTTAACACTAATACAGTTTTCTTTTATGGTAAAAAGAGAATCTGATGGTGCTGAAGATTATTCTTCATGATCATTAACACTAACTAATTTTCATCATTGGAAAAAAAGACACAGATATATAATTCAGCAGGCCATTTAAAGAAAAGCAATATTGGATCAGCTGCTCATGTCTGTGTGATTAACTTGGAACATAAATCATTCCATCCAAACTTCATCACTTTTCTAAAACACAAACAAACAAACAAATAGACAATAGAAACAGACAAAAATAAGTATTCATATTTAAATATAAGAATTATCATGTCTGACGGTCACCATTTAAGATGTTTTGGTCAAATACTCTGTATTATCTGACGCATTTAGGAACTTCTTGTTTTTACTAATAGGTGAAGATGCAACTTCTGTGGCTTTGTAAAGGTAACATTAAGAGACCGTCCCTGGTGGAATGAAATGGACACAAAAAAGACCAGGCAGCGGTATGACAATGCACATGCTATGATGTAGGGTTAAATGGTGTGTGCCGCTGCATTGTGCTGGCAATGCATTTTGGACTCTGGTGTTCTCTTGAGATGAATCATCACAAGGTCCTTGATTACAACTTATGTAAAGATCTGCCAGCTGGCGTCGGGGCTCTGAATGTGTCTCCCCCGCCAAGTGTTACATCCCCCTCCTGTGATGTGTGCTGCATGTGTGACTCATGATGTATGACACCAATAATTGAGATATTTTAGGAAACATTACCGTTGACCTTTCAGCTTTAAGGAAACCAAAATGAAAATATGTCTGTCGATACAACAGAAATAAGAAAAAAGAAATGTGTGTTTTAGCACCATGTTAACACCATGCTCGTCCTCCAGAAAAAGTTGATTCCCCCTCAACGGGTGCTAGCTGCTAGCAGGAAGACAATTTCCTTTCTCATCGTGTCCGTCTGTTCAGCTAGCCTTTAAAGAGATCTGTGGTATTTTGATTTTGTTGGACAACTTTGTCAAAGATCATCTGTGACTCCCAGTTCAAGTCGAAACCTTAACGGATTTTAAAACATTTTCAAAAGGATAAAACTAAATGTTCTTTTTTTCAATAAGAAACATACAAAATATCTGCTGAGGCAAGTAGCCAATTGAAAGAAAGGCTTTCTGTCTGTGCGATTGTGTGATGAGGAGTAGTTGAGAGGCCAACATTACACTCTGATTGGTTTAATTAAATGTGCCAGAGTGACAGCACGTTCGGGGATGGTCATTGGGAGAACGATCTGTGTAATCACACACTTGTAGTAATTGGCATTCTGATGTGACAGCAATTTCGATCAAATCACAAGAAAGGCAACACTGACAATGTGTTTACCCAACGCGAGTTAAACATGTTTGTTGATTTGTGTTTTGGGGCGGTTCCTATTGTAACTAGCGTTTAAAAGTAATTTCCGTTGCACTTTAGCGTCACATTTGCACGATTCAGAAATAGATCACTGCCCAAGATGAATTTATTTCTCTTCCTCTCAGTAATGAAGAAAGACATGCCTGGCAACAGGCATTGACATTAAACCACACTTGTGTCCATCAGCTGTCTGAATCAGACAAATCATCCAAAGTTATCATCCCTTCTTGTATAACTTTGGAAATATTCCATTGGATTTGACTGAGACTAAAAATCTGCATGCGGGTGAAAGAATAAATCCTTGTTGTGTATCGCTTCAGAATGTTTTGGATAATATTAAAAATTATTATTGATTTATGTGGCAGCACTGCAAAGATGAACCCAGCGAGAACCAGCTTGTCCCCTTTTAGTTTAAAACCTCAACTTTAATGCATGCAGCAATGTGGACACCCTTTGCCCGTTATCCGTTGATGTTTGTCACACTTTAGCAGTGCCATAAAATGAATGTTCCCGTAGTAACGACTTATTATATTCCAGATCAAAAGATCTCGCAAGAAAATATTTAACAATATTTTGCCCTTTCTTTATTAGTCTCTCCCTCACACTTGCACATCCAAACAGTTCTTTAGTGATTCAGTCCTCCTCCGGGGTTTTCCGCTGAGCGTCGGCATGTGGAGGCCGGCCTCTCTGGAAGCGGGAACATTGCTGTTGATTCCCTTTCAGCTAAATGGAACCGTCTCTAAGGGGAGCTCACGGGTTGATTCCACAGTCAAGTCAGTCACTGCTCAATAAAGAAATATTTTCTCTTTGCACGTTTATCTTGTAATGTAGCTGTCTAATCATGTCATAGCAAATTAGTTCTGCTTTTAAACTCGCTAATGTAATCCACGGTCTTCCTGCCTCCGAATAGCAGGGATGCGAGTCACTCTGCCATCAAGAGTTTCTAACTCATCAATCACAATTTAATTAGTTTGGGTCTTATGAGAACTCTCCATCCTGCCATTTCACACCCAAACATTTGAGACAAACAAATGTTTGGGTGTGAAATGGAAGAATACACAAAATACACGCTACTGGCAGCTTAATACATATTTCTGATACAAAGTACCTTTCTAACTTGATTAGGGTTACAAGTGATTACCTGGCTGTAACTGCAAGAGGACACAATGAACACATGAATACATTCACACTGTTCATTTCCGTATGTGCTCGCCTTAAACTAGCGACCTCAAAACTGCTTCAACTTCAACTGCCTTTTGAAAATTGAGTACGGATGTATTAATAATGGCCCTACGTGTTAGTTTCTCAAATGAGATTGAATCAAGTATTAATTAAACTCATTTGGATTAAATTGAATTTGCTCATGTAAGGCGGATAGGCGGTTGTCTTTGTTTGAGGTGGCTGATTTCATTGACAGATTAACTGTAGATGCATTTTAACAAAGGAGAAACGTCCTAAGTTTATACAAAAATAACAAATCAAACGTCATAGTGAAATGGACCTGAAATACTACAAATAATATGTTGCCTGCCCTCAGACAGAGAGGTATTACAATAAAACATCTGATGCATGATACACTAAGTATGTTGTAATTGGACATAACTCAAACTGTAAAAATGTGTCACATGTCATTATGCCACTTATTTTACATTTAATTGAGACACAAAGTGTTTTTAGTCAATTAGTGGCCAATTAGTCAATATGTAATATTAAATCATTACACCAAGGTGGTATGTATTACATTGTTTTCTTATCACAAGGCCCTGCATTGCATCAGTATTTCATTTTATATTGTTTTCATTTGTTTCAATGTTCCAAAGTTAATTAGTAGTTCGAAGCAGAAAAGCTGAGCATGATGATGACGAAAGGCTCAACTTTTAACCTTTTAAGAGTGGTTGCTGAAAACTAGGCACCGGACACATGGTTCCTATTTTTAATCACTTTATAGTTTATGTAAGTACGATTCTGCGTGGTCACTTGTCAGCTTGAGGACAACTGAAAGGTTCATGCTTTGTACGATATTAAATGGTTGCCAATAGTAACTTGGCAACACATACAGCTAATGGACGCCTTGTGAAGTCACCTTAACTGGTAATGGGGCGGTCCCTTTAAAATCTCCACCTTGCTATGACCCTTTATTATGATTTATTACAATTGATCCCACCTCCCTCCTTGCACATAATCACAGCGATTTGGATATTTCCATATGTACGTTGATTTACTCATTTGCAAGGTTGAAGTCATTGTCAAAAGGCCAACTTGAGGATCCTTCCTGATAAATGACGGTAGCTTTTGAAGGCAGCGGCATGAGACCGGGTTACGACTAAGGTCGCTCCAGATGGAGTTTGTAAGACTGCAGGTGCTAGCAAGTCAGTGTCATCAACATAGATCACGAAGCCGCCCGAATGACCGAGGCGCTCCGACGCCTTTTAACTGCCGCTGCAAAGACGGGGAGGGACATAGCCGGAGAGGGTTGTGTTCCTGTGCGTCTGCAGGCAAATGAAGGAGATGAAGGCAGCCCTGACGGACTGTGTTTTCCTGTTTAAGAGCACAAGTAGTGGACTGGCTTGGCCTCCCTTCAGTGCCTCCTTGATGTATCATAAGTGGAGCATGTTAACGTCGCGTTTAGTGTAGCCAGATAGAGCACCTCTCTTCCCCTCCACTCCC